TTGGATGCAAATGGACTTTCAGGAAAAAGTTACACTATGATGGCTCAATTGCCCGATTCAAAGCCAGATTGGTGGCACAAGGCAATCGGCAGGAACACGGCATTAACTACGGAGAGACGTTTAGCCCTGTGGCCAACCTTCCAACAATTCAAGTGTTGTTCACAGTCGCTCTATACCACGACTGGAAGGTGCACCAGCTCGACGTCACAAATGCCTTCCTTCAAGGCAAAATCACTGAGACTGTGCATATGTGGCAACCCACTGGATTTGTCGACAACACATTTCCAAATCACGTCTGCCTTCTTAAAAAGGCAATCTACGGACTCAAGCAAGTGACACGCATGTGGTACACGACATTCACAGACTACCTCCTCACTATCGGGTTTCGGCACAGCAAGGTGGATCCGTCCTTGCTTACCTTCATCAAGGCCAACACTCAAATCTACTTACTCGTCTATGTCGACGTATTCTGCTTACTGGGAACGATGGGGACGCCATTGCCACTCTCATTCGAAAACCGCAATCTCAATTTGACATGAAACACCTGGGCTTGGCAAATCACTTTTTGGGAATCAAAATCTCCCAACATCAAGATAAGAACTTTCTATCTCAAGAATCATATGCCTTATCTATTCTACAACAAGCTAACCTCATTGACTGCAAACCTCTTGCAAATCCATCATCTACCAAACAACCACAAATAGCTGAATCTGCTTCATCTCTGTTTGATCAGGTGCAATACAGACAGCTAACGGGTTCACTCCAATACCTCATTCTCACCCGGCCAGATCTAGTGCATGCTGTCAACACGTTATCGCAATCAATGCACGATCCAGCTCTAGCGCACTCGATCCTCCTAACCAAACTTCTCAGATACCTTAAATCCACGATTAACTACAGCCTACCCATTTCCAAGTCGACTCTTCGGATGCGTGTACATTCTCGGATGCAGACTAGGCAGGAGATCCAAGTACGAGGAAGTCCACGTCGGGGTTCTGCACATTCCTTGGTAACACACTTGTCTCCTGGTCTGTCAAGAAACAATCCACGATCGCTCGATCCTCCACCGAATCCTAGTATAGAGCTCTGGCGGCAGCAACGGCAAACACTATCTAGCTCAAGCGTCTGCTAACTAACTTTAACATTCAGCATGATCAACCCATAGAGCTGTTCTGTGACAACATATCGGCTATTGCTATCGTGAACAACCCGATATTCCACGCACGAACCAAACATATTGAAATCGATCATCGTTTCGTACGGGATCAAATCCAGAACAACCACATTCACCTCCTACCAATTTGCACAGCCGGTCAAATTGCAGACATCTTCATAAAACCGTTATCTACGTCAAGATTCCGGCTTCTTCGAGCCAAACTGACTGTCATCAATGATCCGTCAATTTGAGGGGGAATATTAGGACATAAGATTCAAATGTATTAAACTGCCTCTATTCATTAGTGTATTTACAAGTGTACCATTCTCTATCTTCGGCTCTATATATAGGACCCTGTATCCATTGCTTAATCAAGAAATAGAATTTCCACTTTTTGTTTCCTCTCTTCCTTCTCTGTTTCTACGTTTCTACAAATATCAAGTCTCCTCAGCGACGCATTGATGTGAGTGCCCGTAAGCCTTCCAAGTGCGCTTCACAAAGTTTTGTACATCAATTAGAGGATTGTACAGAGAACCCGCATATAGTTAACGATGGGTATGAAACTATGGGAATCTAGTAATGCCGACAAGACAAATAATGATGATTCCCCTGCAATGCAAATATTACTGAAAGACTACTATACAAGGAGCAGTGGCATATTAGATCAAATTATTAGTACCAATAAGTTTGCCACCATACGCCAAAATGCAGAAGAATAGGACAATAGTCTTATAATTGATGGTGCTATTGACAGCGATATTGTCACACATGAACAATATATTCCATATGAAATTATTGAGGGCATGTGTTTTGCAAGCAAAAGGGACTTATAGTTCACTCTGTATAGTTGGTTAATAATCAATAATATTGAATTCAAGTTATTTTATCAAACATACAGAAATATATAATATGATGTGTGCATTACGGAGCAATACTTAGACCTTGCAAATAACGTCTACATACAAGTTTTCATCAACTATATAAGGTCATACATGCATGAATCTTATTCTTTTGACTGGCCATAGATAATGCAACTCCAAATTCTTAAGTTATTTTACCCAGCCTGTTGTAAAGCAACAGATTGATCTAAGCCCTGTGAAATCATAGGTCGTGTTGAATCAAAGTTTGACATTCGACAGTTTGGGTGCATGTCTAATATAGATGTTCAGTCTATGGATCTCAATTTAGTGAGGGTGGATAGACGTGGTAAAGCAGATGTCGATTGGTTGTTTTATTACCAGTAGTATGTTGCCATATGGGAGGGTCAAAGAGGGCCTGTTGTGCAGGGCCTACGAGGAGTAGATGTGAGAGATCGTGCATTGAACTGGTACATGCAATGGTATAGGACATGAACTAAATTATACTTACTGAAAGAACTATCTAAGCTAACTGACACCTATTATGCAAGAGCCCTGGTGGAATGACTTCTGATAATGAGTACTAAATGTTCATCGTTGTGCCTACTTTGCAATTAGATTATATTTGAATGCTTACATGGTTCCTACATAACTTGCATCATGATTACTTCTAAAAGATAGAGGTGTTCCGACCATTCTTTGGGCGAGAGTGCAACACTGATATACAACGAGCTGTGAATATATTCAAGAAACTTAGTTGTGCCATTCAGAGCCAAATGCATATTGCAGACAACCGATATCCTGGAATACCGAAACACATCTTCACTAAAGTTACTTTATCCTCTGAGTTGAATTGTTTCATTGTATTGGAGAAGTCGAAGGTTTTTTAGCCTGAGGAGAGAAAATTAAGCTAGTTTTAGTTTAATTTATTAGAAATGATGTAATTGTAAAATAAATATGATGAATTTGATATCATTAGTCAAGACTTGTGAAAAAAAAAATTTGAATTATAATATAAAATTCATATATTTTATTTTTCAAATTTTATTTCAAATCAAATAGCTAAAAATTGATTTCAATGCAAAAAAAAAAAAAAAAAGTGGAAGAATGAGTGGTTTCTCAGGTAGCCTTTTGCTGTGCTAATGCCAACAGAGCTTGAAGGAGATTTAACTCTTGCAAAGATCAATGAGCGAGTTCTCAGGTAGCCGATGAGGCCGATGAAGCAACCAGTGGGGGAGTTTGCATGTTTGTCGTGGGTGCCGGACAGTGGCGGCGGGGTAAGGCTGTCCAGCAAATTAGTGGTGGGGCTTACAAGAATACATACAAAGGGTAGGGGTAGTATTACTGTCATAAGGACAAGGGAGTGATTTAATTAGCATTAAATTATTTTTCTTTTGATGTTAATTACTCTTTTTTTGTGCGTTCAGACTTAGTTTAGTTGTAAATTTTATAAATGCTGAGGCTTTCGGTGGTGTAATTTTGTGTGTGCTTTTATTTGAGAGAATTATTAGGAAAATATATATAGGGCCGACACTGCTTGATGTTAGAGAAATGTACCATTATTTTATTATTATTTTTGTAAATATACTCGAAAGTTCATCAATTTTCCTCTATTTTGATACTCAATGTCTATTTAAGTCAGTTGCAAGTAAATATGGTCCAAACTTGCTCGAATTTAAATCTTAAAGTGAACATTAATTCGAACGCAATTTGAATAGGTTTGAATCAAACTCGAACCTATATCTCCGCCTAGTGAGGAGCTCAAGGAGAAAGGGGCATCTCCACTGTAGCGAGGAGCTAAAGGAGGGAGCAGCATCTCCGTCGGGCCGGAAGACTGAATGAGGGAGATTCTTTGGAGTAGAGGTCATTCTCCACCTGATAAGGGAGAAGAGTTTATCACCTAGTTAAATACCAAAGGAGTTTGAGTTAGTACAACACCCAAAGAAGAGGACCTTTGGGTAGTAGATGCAGGTCGATTTCGATCAAACCATTATAAATTTGGTTTGTGTATTCTTTACTTTCTTGCAATTTATTTTCTACATTTTAGTTTACTTTCGGTTATCTTGGTAAGAAATTTTTGGGTGATAAATTTTTTGTTAAAGTTTTATTTTGAAATTATATATATATATATATATATATATATATAAAAACTCAATTGTTAATATTCATTATTCAAATTTTTTGTTGATTTCCTCATATTAAATCAATTGCTGCATTATCAATTAGGTTCAAATACTCATATTTAATGGTTAGCAATTAAAGAGAGTGAGTTTTTGTATATTTCGTGGTTTTTGATCTATAAATCCTAATCTCCTTTGTATGATCTACATGCATTAGTTGCATTAAGAAGTCTAGACCCTTAAGTACCTTAAATCACATTCCTTGTCCTTCTACTGCTCCCACATATAAGAATTGAACTTAGAATTATTACACCCATACCACTAGACACTCACAGTTCCTCCAAAAAATAATTGATCAGCAAAAGCAAGATTATATATGCAAAGCAAGAAACAAGCATGCAAACCGCAAACCATACATTTTTAAGGCATATGGACGAAGATGACTCAATAGCATAAACAGTAGCCAAGGAATTTTTCTTACTATTTATTATTTGAAGATATCAACTTTCAACAAAATGTACAATTACAAGTTTCAGAGATGGTGCTCTAATGAAAACAAGATCCTTCATTATTGCCAACCTTATATTGTTTTGGGTTGTTCTTTAACGATTTCAAATATAAACCTGTCCAAGTCAGAGTCTCTTCAGTTTCAACAAATGGATATATGCTTCTTCTAGACCCAACAAACATCCTTCCATCATAATCTTAAGAATTCTGAGATGGGCATAAAAAACAAACTTTTCCACTTCAAACGAATTAGCCTCAAAAGGAATATCCATCCTAGGGACACCATACAAACAGTGCAAGACTATCATGCCGTAAAATTTAAAAAAATAATAATTAGCAATGAAGATAATGATTTGCTACCTGTACAAAGTGCTCTGAAGTTTTCTGCACAACAAAAGACAAAAAATAAAAAAAGATAAATCAAGCTTAAGGACCAAAACACTTTATTAACCATATGCTTATTTTAAAACAAAATATTACCCGCAGTTTTGGGGACAGTTTTTCCAAAAAGGCCCATCACAATGCGACCTGTTTATAAATTCAGGTAGTGCATCACTAATAATCCTTAAATTTAATTTTGCATGCCAAATATTCCAACAATATTGAGGTAAACATAATAAAAAAAGTAAATATTTTCACAATTGAACACCTAGTTAACAAGAAAACATGCAACTAATTAAGTTATCACATTTTTTATCAAATAAATGAAAATTATAAGTAAGAAATGAATCCAAGAATAAAACTTTGAAAAATCTATGAAAAGTCAAAGCAATCAATGAATCAACCCCTCATCTACACCTCAAAAAATAACAAAGAGCCATAGAAGAGTAAAATATCTTAGCTAACTCAGTAGTTCATTTAAATGCTGTAGATCAAAATGTTGCAAGGACTCAGCTTGAGAAAACTTAGCCCGTTTTGAGGCAATGTAGTCAATTCGAGTAAGGAGGATAGAGATAACCACCTTGTCAAATCTCATCATGAATTCACCATGAACAAGATGAACTCAAAAGGAATGTGGAGAACTCACTAGCTACCATGAACCCACAAGAGCAAACTAGGTACAAGGCATAACTAGGCTCACTCGCATCAACAAGAAATGAACTAGCCTAAGCTCAAAAGCTATTTTGCCCACACTACCTTCTAATAAGCCAGCAACTTCATCTAATTAGCCAACAACTTCACTCAGTTTGAAGGCTGCTTCAACTGCCTATGCAGCAACTTCAATTAATCTTAAAGTCGGTCAATTGACAAGTGCATTCACATGTAATTGGGCTACACACGGCTTGTATTCTGATATACTTTTTTATAGCCTAAAAGTGAATTTTTCTGTAACGCCTAAACCATGGTCTGACCCTATAAAAAAAAGGCTAAAGAAAAGATTTGTGCACCCAAATCTCTTGTATTTAAAACTCTATGCATTTGACAACATAGCAAAATCTCAGAGCTTTTCTATAGACTCTTTCCCTCTCTCCCTCTCTTTCTCTTATCTCTCCATTTATACTTTACACCTTGTGAATCTTATGAATAAGGTTTTGGCATTGCCCACAAATAGATTTTGATCCAACAAATGCTATGAATATCATTGAACATATTTGTAGAATTTTTTAATGTTATGCATGTAATAAACAACACAAACCAGCAGGCTTTCCAGCAATCTCGATATCAAAGAAAACTTTGTGCGTTACTTCCTTTAAATCCTTCGTTGATTTGGCCTGCAACATCAATTTAAACATGATTTGCATGCTGATCCTCAAATATAAGGTTATGAAAAATTCGCTTAAACTGAGTTGAAGAGAAATAATGCATTGTTCACAGATTGTAGTTCAAGTAAGATGCCAACTAAACGAGATACATAAGGAATAACTGCGAATTCAAAACAAGGAAAAAAGGCCTAAAGGGACAATGCTTAACAGTGAAAGAAATCAAATTATATGAAACTAACACAATTATCTTTTCCTGAGCATTTGGAACCGCATAATTTAGTATCTCTTATTGTTGTTTTACAGAACTTTCTTCGAGTCATGTCTCTGTTCTATCAACCTATTATTGCCTTTATTAATTACAGGGCAATTTCGTGCAAACACATAAACATTAAACATTTACAAAACAAAACCCAAGTGCTTCCATTTACAAATATACATAAAAGACTAAAACATCAAAATCCATTGCCAATATGTATAAATCAAACCTCTATAATTAATTAATCAGCGGCAGAGCCAAAATATTTTTCTTGTGGGATATAAATAAATTATTTTAAAAATATCATGAACCTTTTTCATCTTGGTTTAGGGTCGGCATAAATCATTTTACAAAATTTATGATGTCATATTTTTGATGATCTATCAATTACTATTAAAAAATTTAGATTTAATTACATTTTAATTATACAATATAAGAAATATCATCAACTTAATATCAAGCTCTTAATAAGTTTTTAATTGGACAACAAATAAATCAATTCATAAACATAAATAAACGAGTATGATTGTGCTCAATTTTGATTCATTCAACATTCAAAATTTTAAGAAGAGTTTAAATTTATTTAATTATTTGAATAAATTTAATGAGTATTAATCAAAATCGCATCAAATGTTATTAGATGTAGAAGCAAATGGCTATAATTAGATGCGTCCAATTTTCTTGTACTTAAAACTCTTCCCATCTATTAGGACTTCTTTATCATTAAATAACATAATCTATGTACCACATTTTGCATAAATATTGCAGATTCGTGATTGAAAAATATAAAAAGCTAAGGACTTAAACGATTGATCTAACAGATGGTGAATCTAATTGAAATTATTTGATCACAAAATATCAACCTTTAAGAAAAAACTAACAGTTGAACGATAAATATACACAGATCGATGAAAATTAAGCTCAATCTTAACTGGATATTCTTAAAGATATTTGATGATCCATCAAGAACACGAAAACATCAAAAAAATTAAATTTTAACTATCGCGAACAGTATCTCTCTGGATCTTCCACAGGAGCGTCACCAACAACTTGAAGACGTTATAGGAAGCAGATCCATTGGTCTACGGTGGCAATCTCAAGTTCAACAAATGGAAGGAATCAAGAACGAAGGGATAATTGGAGGTGAATACCTGATTCAGGGCAATGGTGTTGAAGAGGATCACGAACAAAACAAGTGAAACTGAAAGCTGCCGCGTCATTGTCGCCATTCCTCGGTCTAGCTACCGGTTTCGTCGCGATCCTTTACCTTTCTAGTAGAGTTGCGGGCAGTGGGCTGTAAATTTAAACCTCAGCTAGGGTTAGCCAAACTAGCAACGGCCGGTTCAGGGCTTAGGGCGCCCGGCCAATAAACAGTTTAGCCGGTTCGACCACACTATATAATATATTTCAAATTTAAAAATAAAAAATCATTAGAATTTGTTTAAATATTAGCTAGTTTAGTTAAAATCTTACTATGAGTTAGAGAATAATTATAAATATTTAGATTTAAGTATTGGCTTCCTTTTATCTGACCTTTTTTTTTTTTTAAGGCGATTTTGAAAAATAATTTTGTAAGCTTTAGATATATTTTGAGTGTATATATCTTTATTTTATAAAAGATCATATTAATCATTAGAATTAACAAGAGGAATGTCTTTATTAAAAATTTAAAAAATGAGTCAATTTGTCAAAATATTTGGCACATTCAGAATGCGCCAAATGATTTGGCACGTTCTTAATGCGCCAAATATTTGAGAGAGAGGGAGGTAGCAAAATACAAAGAGAGAGTGTAATACAGTAATATCTGAAGAAATTGTGACTTGAAGATGCACTTTTTGATGTACCAACTTCTATCATTCGAGATGCATGTGAATATTTTTCTGTTAATCCATTACCTCCTAAAATATAGCTTGCAAATAAATAGAACAACTTCTCTCTAACCTTTGTTAGTTCATAGAGGTAATCACCTTCATATATTCTCCTATAGCAGCACTCAACAAAAATAAATTTATACTGTGGATCTAAAATGATAGCTATGGCCAATATAACACTAAATTTAAACTAATATTTCTCAAATTTGACAATCATTCTTATAGTCATTCTCTTTATGTAATCATGTCCACTTAACAGTTAATGTTTCAATGATGCATAAGTTGATGAAATGCAAGGAAAATATAAATTTATTGTTGGGTACTTTGAGCTAGATATAACATATGTTATCTCACAGAAAGGAGCAAAAAAAAGTGCAAATAAATTCAACCTTCTCCCACTCAACACTACTTGGACAATTCTTATAATTTGAATCACCCAATTCTAAATATTGAAAAGCCCGTCGATAGTAGATAGCACTGTCAAGCACGATGAAAGTGGAGTTTCATCTTGTCGTAAGTCGTAACATCCTAGCGCAAACCTCTCTTTTCATCTAGTCAACTTTATTTGACACAATCAAGGAACTTTTGTTTTCTCGCTTGAGAGCCTTAACGTACTTAATACTCTCCCTATTTTTTATTATTGAACAATCGATCTCCTTCAAACTCTCTTGAACTATAAGAATAACAATATGGGATGTACAACGAATATGAAAGAACTAACCATCACATAGCAAAGTACCACATAAACATAAATGATTTCTTAGATATTCAACGAAGACCTTGTTTGCTGATGCATTAACCAAAGTAAATGCTATAAAAAGTTTAGAATCAATTTTCTACTCTATAACAAGAGATTGTAGCTTTTCAAACAACGCAATGTCATCCTGAGGGCATGGCATGAAACCAAAGCTAATTATCTTTTTTTTTTTTTCTTTCTTTTTTTTTGCAAATGCCAATCATAATCTATAAAATGAATTGTTAAATAAATAAATCCATCTGTATTAATAGACGTTCAAAGGTCTCATGTTAAGCATACCCTACTTGTGAATTTAGGTAACTGTGAACGTATATGACACTTCTTTTTATTAAATAATTTCTTAAAATCTAATTGCAAGTCACGACGAAGATACGTCAAAAGAGCTCGAACTCTAACACACTCAACACACTATAAGGGCAAGTCATGCATAATGATAAATGTAGTAAACAAGTCATGAAATTTTGAGGGATTAAACTTACTATCAGACACAAAATGGATGATTCAGAATTGATTTGTAAAATGAGCTGTCCAATAGCACACATATTTATTTTCTTACATTTTTCCAAGTGGCGTCTTAGATTACCAGTGTCATTTTTGCTATCACATAAATATGTAACGTCATATTTCTTACATTTATATCTTTGTTTACCATCTTTTGGAATATGTAACATCTCAAAGTAACTCCAAACAATCATAGTCATTCTTTTCCATTTCTTAGCAACTTCCATAAAGAAACCCTAGAGGAAGACAGAGGAAGAGAATAATCGAGCGAGGGGCCGCTAAGCCCGCCTAAAATGCTAACCTGTTGCCCGCTCGTTGCGTGGTATTATTTTTCCTAATTGCTAAAATGCGCAGGTCGAATCGAGTTATTATCGGGTTTTCGGGTTGACCCAAACCCGACCCGAAACTACAAACAGGTCTGAAATACAGACCCTAACCCGACCAGTTTTTTAAATAGACCGGATTTGTGTCGGATTTTCGGGTTGGATCAAATATTGATATCTCTAATTTTCCTGCTTTATAGGGTTTTTCACATTAAAACTCTGATGTTCGTTGTCTCTTCAAATTCTTATTTGTGTGCTGAATTTTTATGTATAATTAGGACATCAAATCTTTGCACTTTATAGTCTCCAATTTCTCTGCCCGGAACAGTGCTAAGTATAAACAATTTTTTTTTTTCAATTTTGTTGGGACAAAATCAAGGATCTTATAGCCAAGTTTTACCAACATTTCTTCTTTTATAAATTAGAGAGTATTTTCTTCGCAATGATAAAAAACTAGTCTTTGGATTGTTCAGTTAGGCCGTTCAACTGCGACGGAGAGCGTGATGGCGGCTGTGATCGAAGAGTTGGATCCCCAGAAGTGTACCGAGTCGGTCGAGGAGATCGCGAGGTTGGAGAAGAAGACCTTTCCGAAGCACGAGTCCCTTGCCCGATCTCTAGAACAGGAAGTGATGAGGAAGAACAACGGCTTAATCTATGCAAAGGTTACCAGTGAAGTACGAGGAGGTGGAGAGATTGTGGGCTATGTGATGTATTCCTGGATTTCTTCTCTATGCGCCTCAATAACCAAACTAGCAGGTACGAAAACCTTCAATCACTTTTCTATACTGATTTCCTGTTCTTCAATCCAAAGTTGAGGTTTTAGACGATGGAGTACCTAGGTTTCTCTTGTTTTCTTTTTTCTTGATTGATTTTTTGCTGTTCGCTGCGTGTTTACTCATTAGGGCATTTTTTTATTGTTTTTGAAGCAGTAAAGGAGAGTTATAGAAGGCAAGGTCTTGGGGAAGCATTGATGAAAGCCGCTATTCAGAAATGTAGAACAAGGAATGTCCTGCGTGTTTGTCTTCACGTTGATCCTGAGAGGATTCCTGCTGTTTCACTGTATGAAAAACTTGGCTTCCAAATTGAGGTTCTTGTTGCATCTTATTATTCTGTTGATAGAAATGCTTACAGAATGTATTTAGATTTTGATGGTTAATGTTAGAAATACCAAGTTCTTTGGATATGCAACTTGTTTGTAGACCAAGTAAAACATAATGCTGTTTTGGAGCTTCACTGATTGACATCTTGGAAGAGACCTTTGCAATAAAAATTTGAAAAAACTGAGAACAGTAGTCTGGTCACATTTGGCTTGTTTATGCTATATAGCTGAAAATGTATATATATATTTTTTTTAATGCAACCCAGCAGAAGGTCTTGAAGCAAGCGAATGTGGACACGAGAAGAGCTTCATATGCTATAACTGTTTGCTACTTCTGGAGTTCAGAGATCATCTTCCCTTCTGCCTAGCTGCCTTATGATTGGTTGCCAATTGCCATCATAAAGCTGTCAAATACACCCACCAAACATTCATTGAAAGATCCACTAGTATTACTGACCACCCGCATGTGTGCTGTCCCGGTACAGGTAGTTTTTTTTGGGTAAACCCGGGGCTTGATGCCCATATATTAAAAAGCTAAAAGCAAATTACATGTAACCTGTGGAAAGAAAATGCAAAAACCAAACTAAAACAAAAATTACATATGGTTGAAGACAAGACCAAAAAGACAATTGGCATACAAGGACTCAGAAAAGCATAGTCTCATTCATCAGAATTACTCGTGTAAGAGAACCAATCCAGGCGGTTGCACTGTTTGCCCGAGAGAAAAGCCAAAATCCGAATCGGTTAAAGACCATCACAGCATATCCAGCCTGGTTGCAGTAGGAGGCAAAAACGAGCCAGGTTGCCATATAGGCCCTCCATAGCTCGGAGAGACTTGCTGTGCTCATCATTGTCTGAATGCCAACCGTCCACCTATCTTGCCAGCTAAGATCTGTGAAGTAAACCTGGTAGTTTGGAAGAGAGCAATCCACAGAAATTCTGGGAACTGAGAGAAAAAACAAAACCTCCCAGGCCCGAACATAAACTTCCCAGGTCAGAAGTGTAACCAAAAAACTGAGTAGCTCCATATTATCCCAGCAAGTGATAATCAAAAATCCAAAATAAACTGCATCAGCCAACTGATAATGAATCGAATTTCTAGTGGTCAAGACAATACTCCATGTAAAAACAACAAAAAGGTAACTCACTGAATGCCCAGAAATTCTTGAAAAAGAGAGGATTTGTTTTTCCATTTTACCGATTTATGCCTAACAGCCTCCAGTATATTGCAAATGATTTTGGTCACATTGGTGCAATTGTTTGAAAAACGGCGTTGATTCCTTTCCTTCCACACATGGTAAACAATGCAGCTTAAAACCAATAAGGTAAAATCTTTACCTGCTCTATTAGCTAACATGGTGTTTTCAATAAATTCCATGGCCTGTGCCAAATTTGGTCTAAGCAAAAAGCAATTTAACTTAGGCAAGATAATCTTAAGGACATAAAAAGAGAAATCACATTCAAAAAATAAATGGGAATGGTTCTCTATATGTCCAGAGCAAAGAGAGCAATTAATAGGCACCATAATTCCCCTAAGGCGCAAGTTATCCGCTGTTTTCAACTTGCCAATACGAGCCATCCAAGTGAAACAAGAAAATTTTAAGGCATGACTCTTGTGCCATATAGATTTGTACCAATCAACCTTAGGGAGATTAGAATAATGCATTTCAGTGTAACCTTTAAATTCCCATTTGATATTTCCATCCCATAAAACAATATTGCTCTCTTTAATAGCCACAGACTTAATCAAGTCATGGAAATTGGGATGAATGTGATTAGGGATGTGCCATAAATCATTCCAGAAAACATCTTTTAGCATAATTTCCTCCGTTCCAGTGACAGAAGAAAATTCCCCAATAGAATTGCCATTAAGCCACGGGTCCCAGAAAAAAGAAAGTGTGCTGTGAAGAGCAACAGGGAAAGTTAAATGCTGTCTAACTTTCAAGAAGGTATCATAGATGCGATGCCAAGTTCTAGAAGCTGAAGGAGGAGGATGCTTCATGGGAGATATGTATTTAGCTTTATACCAGCCCGTTAGCAAGTTAGGATTGTTGTAAAACCTGCCAATGATAGAGCAGAATACCCCAAAATAAAGCGCATCAATAGAAAGGATACCAAGACCCCCAGCTTCTTTTGGAATGATAACTTTAGACCAAGGTATAAGATGCAACTTCTTCCCCTCCAAATGATTATGGAATAGAAACTTAGAACAAAGTTTATTTATCATAGCACAGCAACCTTTAGGAATGATTGATCCTCTAATCCAATAAGCAATTGAATTAGTGATGGTAAATTTTAGAAATTGAATCCTACCTGCAAAAGAAAGAAACTTGTTTTTCCAACCATCAAGTAGAGCAAAAAGTTTACTCAGTAGTGGTTGGAAGTGAGAAGCTTTTAGCCTTTTTGGAGAAATGGGGAGACCCAGATAAATGAGGAAGGGATTGATGCTGTGGATGCCCAGTTCCTCACAAATGATCTGATTGGTAGGCTCTGAATTGGAGAACATGATGGCACTTTTGCTCGGGTTTATATGAAGACCTGAAATGGAGGCAAAGTTGTTTAAACAAGTATTGAGGTTTCTGGCATTATCAATACTAGACTCACCCATGACCAATAAGTCATCTGCATACAACAAATGATTAATAGAAAAGTTTTTGTATTGTATGCCCTTGAAGTTGTGTGAAGAAGATTGATCAGTGAGGATGTTAGATAATCCATCCATGGCAATACAAAAAAGAAGCGGAGACAAGGGGCAGCCTTGCCTAAGACCCGAGCTAGAGTTGAAAAAACCTTCCAGAGATCCATTTAAACAGATGGAGAAGTGCACATCGGATATACAACCTTTTATCCATGTTACAAACTTTTCAGGAAAACCTTTCAGAAGAAGTCTATCTAATATGTATTCCCTAGAGATTGTATCAAAAGCTTTTTTGACATCCAGTTTTGCACAAAACAACTTCTTGTTGCCTTTAAAATCTCTAAGAAGTTCAGCGGCTAGAATAATATTGTTAGTGGAGCATCTGTTTGCTATGAAACCAGATTGGCTTTCATGGATAATAAAAGGAAGGATTTCTTTCATTCTATTGGCAATGACCTTAGCAACAATTTTGTAAAGAACATTGCAAAGGGAGATAGATCGGAAATCACTTATATTAGAAGCATGAGAGGTCTTAGGAATTAATGCAATAGCAGTAGCTTTAACACCCTTAGGCATAGAACCAGTAGAGAAAAAATTGGCAACAGCATTATAAACTTGCAATCCAATGAGATGCCAAGTTTTTCTATAAAAACCATAAGTGAAACCATCAGGACCCGGTGCAGTGTTTTCATTACCATCAAAAACCGCCTTTCTTGCTTCATCAAAAGTCAAAGGAGAAATCAACTTACAACTCATGAGAGGAGTGATAAGTTTGCCTTGAGGAATCTGACATAGTTGTTGAGAGTGAGGGATAGAAGTATTAAACAAGCCCTCAATATGTTTAATGATAGCAGTAGAAATATCATTGAACTTAGTAAAATGCCCATCAAGCGTGTATATCTCTTTAATATTGTTCCTGTTATTTCTGCTTCTAATGTGAGCATACAAAAAACCAAGATCATCCTCCCCTTTAGTAAGACAAAGAACCTTAGCTCTTTGAGCTATCCAAGAAGTCCAATAGTTTTGCATTGTGGCAAGCTCCTCATTGATATTTTTCAAATTCTGGTTTAAAGTCTTGTCAAGGGGCAGAGATTGTAATTGAACCAAGCATTGATGTTGTTTGCTTTTGATTTCCAAAATAACATTGGAAAGGTGTGAAGAAGAGGCCCAATTTCGATTTTTGAGGGATCTTTTGAGAGTTTGGAGGCTGTGATAAAAAGAAGCAATAGGACTTCTTGCCGATCTAGAAGAGAAAGCATCAATAACATCATCCCAAAAGCCGTCTAAGTTTATCCAGTAATTTTTGAACTTGAATCTTACAGATAGAGGTTTTTCATGAGAGGAATTGAAGATGAGAGGTGAGTGATCAGATCCCAAATGTGATTCAGCACAATAGTAAGCGTGAGGAAACACATCTAAAAAAGCATTATTCACCAAAATTCTGTCTAGCTTGATGTGTATAAGATTATCCACTCTTTGATTAAACCAAGTGTAATAGAGACCAGTAGAAGAGAGGTCTTGGACACCACAGTTAAAAATGAAACTATTAAGTTCCCCCAATCTACTAGGAGAAGAGACAGAGCCGCCAGCTTTCTCATAATCAAATCTGTAACAGTTAAAATCTCCCATTATTATCCACGGCTGATCAACAGGAGGAGAGGCAGCAATGATTTGTTCCCAAAGATGTTTCCTTTCTTCCACAGAATTTGCAGCATAAATAACAGTAAGATGAATAGGAGGGAAAGATCCCATAGAGAGGATGCCATGAATATGTTGGGAGGAAGAAGATATTGGATTAAAGGAAAGAACCGACACCTCCCATTTAATCCAGATTCTACCCAAAACCGCATCACCAAAATTGTTGCAACTACCTTCATTCTCAAAAAGACGATGAGAACGAAGGAACCACTGGTCATTAATAGAAGCAGAGGAGATTTTTGCTTCTAAAATACATAACATTTTGAGATTCATAGAAGAAACAAGAGACTTGCAAAAATTAACTTTTTCTGGACTGTTAAAACCCCTAACATTCCAGCTAGCAATCTTAGGAAAAGACATTATGATTTTTGGCTTTTGGCCTTCTTGGTCGACTTAGCTTTGTGGGGCTTAGAATTGACAGGGGATTTCCCCTTGCCAACAGAGGATCTGGTATTGTGGCTTGATGATTCAGAGCGGTTCTGAATCTTGGTTGAAGGGGAGGGATCATCATCAGCAAGAGCTGAAGAATCAATTTCATTAACACAAAGAGAATCGGAATTGTCCAAAGGATTATTTTCTTCAGTTTGCAGAGAAGCAAACTTGTTTAGGAGAGGGAGGTTTTGGGGTTTTAGAAGAACGGGGATATGAGGCTGGCCCGAAGAGGAGGATTCTTCTGTGGGGGAGTTGAGGTTGGGAATGAGGGATGAGGGAGCTTTGTTATTGGTGGTGATCGGAAGAGAATCTAAATTGTCTTGGTCAGAGATCAATGGGGACTTAGGCTGCTCCGCAAGAGATGATTTAGCTTGGTCAGCAGGCAGCTGAACCAGAGAAACAGGGGTGGGGAGCAGAGCAGGTTTTGACTTACCAATAACTATCTGGAGGAGTTCGGGATTTGAACTCTGACTGAAGAATTTGACCTGTGATTACGGATGAGAGGAGGTCGGGATGAGCTCCTTCCACGAAATTTAGGTGGTTGAGGATTAGGGTTTTTTGGACAAAGGGAAAAAGGATGAATGAGAGATCCACAGCCTTCGCATTTTCCAGGTTTCCAATCATATAAAACCTTCAAGGTTAAATCTTCTCCTTCTATTTCAATCGGAATTTCTTCCGGTAAAATCGAGTCTTTAGAAATGAGAACACAGACTCTCGCAAACGTTAATCTAGAGCGATTTGCAGTAAGAGAATCAACAGATATTGGAATGCCAATATAACTTGAGATTTTAGAGATACTAGTTGGAGTCCACAGAGCCAGAGGGAAGTCAACAATTTTTATCCAAACCGGGATTGGAGCATCTTCATCGCGTTTAGGCTTGAACTTAGGAGACCATCTCTGTAGAATAAAAGGTTTTCCCCGTATGAACCAAGGTCCACCCGATAGTATCATCTCAAGGTCTTCTTCAGTCGAAAATTTTAGCAAAAAGAAGCCATCCGCAAGTGATAGAAGTGACATGGACCCCTTCAGCTGCCAAAGCTTAAGCATAGCTTTGAGAAGCCTCTCATAGTATGGTCTCGGTCCCAGGGAATACCCGATGAGCGCTGAAGTCCAGATGGACTTCCCTTCGGACAAGTCATCAACTTTAAAAGAAAGCTTTTTGGCTGGAGAGTAAAAAGATACCGGGAAGTGTTTCGGCTTGGAAGAAGACACCGAAACGTTTGCAGCATAAGAAAGTCCCCCTGGAGGAGGAAGAACAGGTGAGGGAGAAGATGAGAGCGGTGGAAAATCATGCGTATCGGATGCCATCGGGAGGGAGAAGCCCTCCCAGGCAAGCAGAAAGCGGAAGAAACGCAGGCGGCGCAAACCCTAAACCGAGCAAACCCTAGCAGAGCTCATGTACTTCGCGTTATGATTACAGGTAGTTGCCTAAAGAGAGCTAAGTGTTGGAGATAGAAGTAAAAGACCGTAATAAAATAAACAAGAAAAAAAAAATGCACCAGAAAGCAAAGGACATCAGGATATAACATGAAAAACTTCAAAATCTGAAGAAAAAAAAAATGTCACGGAACTACACCACACCAAAAAATCAACTATGAAAATTGAAAGAAATAAGTACAAGTCTCTGTTCTCTCTTGCTCTCTCATTGCTTCTCCACACTCTTGTACAGTTCTTCTCTCAAAAACAAAAAAAGAGAAAGATGAGTAAATAACTCCAAGGGAAGCCACTCTTAAGAAAAAGGTTTAGTCCGCCTTGAAGCACTACAGTGTCTGTTTGGAGCACACTGTGATGCTTAGCCTCTGTCGTTTGGTCCATCTGACAGCACTGCGGTGCTTTGCTTTCTGTCGTTTCTCCCAACAAATTTTGCAGCACCAGTGTGCTCGAGAACACAGCTTCGGGGCATTGTATGGAAAAATTTTTTCCGAGTGCAGAACCCAAGCATGGGGAGGACCCCCGCACCCCCCAACAAACACCAAAAACTGAGTTGAGATTTGTGGCAATAGTATAACCTAATTGATCAACACAATCAGATTCCACGTAAAACTAAAACTAAGCAACCATTTTTGGATGGTTAATTGATTACTTTACTTAGGTCTTGTTATATATGTTGTTACAAACTCATATTCTTTGGATTTGATTAATCAAGACATTGCGGATCTGAATGAAGTCTGAGAAGCTGCCAATTATAAAAATGGCTGAAATTGAGTGGGCCTTAGAACATCTATTTTAAACTTACCAAAAGTCTCAGAAGTCAACTAAGTGTTTGCCTCAATTTGATTTACAAAATTAAACAGTTGAGCTTGACTAAAAGGATGGGGATGCTACCAATTGTAGTTGCTTATGACTTGGGGGATCTCCAACCAAACTGCAAACGTTCATGTGCAACTACCACGAGCCTCCATCCGAACCAAAAAAGAAACACATTTTTGGGATGTAAACAGTGCGACTATTCATAGAAACACATTTTTGAGGTAGATATGAAGATGAGAAATAATCTATATGAAATATTCTTTTTTGATCTTAGAAATGGAGTTCAATTGGAGATGAATTATTGTTTGATATGGCTATTACTATATTTTGAAGTGAAAAATGTATAGTTCAGTCGAAGATGGCCTTCTCCTCTACAACCCATCACAACTCACCCTTTCTCGTAGTTGTGTTTCTTGCAAACCAATTCTCTAATAGACTGACTGAGGTTTGTCTGGGACAACTTTTTTACTATTTTTAAAGCAGCTTTTTAGTACAAAAAATTCTATTTTAAAACTTTTTTCTTACTAAAAAACTGTTTTAAAAAAGTTCCAAATAAAGCCTAAGACTTAACTTTTTTTTTTCTCTCTTTTTTTTTTTCACTTTATGCCTAATTTATTTCTCTATAACACATTAATATCTTTTCACAGTAACAACTTTAAATCCAATAAACTCTTCATTATATATCTATATTTCTTCAAAGGTAAAGAAATAAGGCATATAACAAACAAGACCCATTTTCCTACACATTAGATCTAAGATTATTGACTTTCTTATTACAACCATATTTATAAACTTTAATAATGGCTTTTGGAAGCATATAATCCAGTCATTCAAAACCTAAGATTTTCTTATAGAACAGACAGCACTTCTAAAAAATTAAAATAATTTCTATTAAATGTGCATGCAACTAAAATAAAAGTTGTCCCATTTGAATTGCTTACTCCATATATTTTAATAAAAGAAGTTATTTTTATTTTTTTCAATCTTTCATAGAAAATATTAAAGTCAGCTTATATTTCAAATTTGTAGTCATGTTGATTATCTCATATTCTTATGTGTATGGATTTAAATTTATTTTATAACCTATAACTTATCATTAAAAAAATTTAAATAGTAAATTTGATGATTTTGAACTCTATATATAATTAAATATCTCCATAATATCTTAAATATGATAATTTAATTTCAAGTTCAAATTAAATGAAATTAAAATCTTCATTTTATTTTATATGTTCAAGCAAGGAAATAAGTCCTCATCACAACTTAAATGGAAGCTTCTTAAATTTAAATTATCTCAAAGCAACAACTAATTAAAAATGTAATAATATATGAATTCATTTTTGTCCCTCCAATTGTCAAATTTACAAATTGTTTCAAAAAAGTGTTTGATTTAAATAGAAAATAAATAAATAATTTCTACTTAACTTCTTTTTATAATAAATTTTCCAGCATAAAATGTATCTGAAGCGTGTGAGCGTGCCGCCCAATGGTTGTACAAAAGACAATTATTTTCTTTGAATTATTAATAATTTTGTTTAAGATCCCGAATAAATTAAAAAAATTTATTCTTAACCAGTAAGGTCCAAAGTGTAATATTTGTTTTTCTTACTCTAATTTAATAATTGCAGTGCAATGTTACTTCTAAGTACCACTTGTTTTTTAAGCATTCGTTGCATTAGTTTTTTATTTCTTGATGACAACTTCTCCTACGATGTGATGAGACTTTCACAGTACTTTCAAAATTTTAAAAATTGAGATTCAAAACATAAATTATTTGTAGATATGTATATTAATATATGTAAATTATGATGAATTTCAAAATACTAACTTAACTTTTGGATAATTATAATACATAAAAAATCAAATAAAATTTTCATTGCATCAATTAAAAAATTTAATTTTATAATTTTGAGGTTTATTTTGAATAAAATTGAATCAATATGCAATAATGCAAAGTAGCCTAAACCAGTAAAGATGGTCATCAGGGCATTTCACTCCTCCATAGGTAATATGGTCTGAGGATTGACGATGCTCAAATATGAGGTTGCTATTGTAAAGCAAGATTGGAGGCAATAGATAAGAATGTCTTTGCTAGGTTTCTAATGCCCGTACCATCATCGATGACCCTTCCCTAGCAAGATCTATCTACAACTTCCTCTCCTCTTCTTCATCATCAAGAGAGTTGCATAGGCAACTAATCTTAGGGGCATCAATATTTGACCCAACTCAAAAATCCGATTTGAATTCGACCCGAAAATTTTGAATTCGGGTCAAGCCATACCTGAACCGAGTCAACCCAAAGCGGGTCTGGTTCAGGTCCGTAAAACCGACCCATTTGTAAAAACAGGTCGGGTCGAACGATGACAAGTCAGTTCCGAGGTGGACCCGAACCCATTTCGTGACCCGATTTTGATAGCCCTAGCTAATCTTGTCAATGCCCTTCTCCAAAAAATTCCACCATAACTTCCCCACCTCTTTTTGTGTTAAATGGGGTTAAATGAGTGGTAGATTACATAAATCATAAATTTTAGCTGTTAAATATGCAAATAAGATAATTTCGAATATTATCTATGTAAATCCCCTATCTATAAATCAAGAACTTCAGTTTTCATGGACAAGGAACCAAAAATATCAGCTACATAATGATATTAAGACTTGTATTAACGAAAAGTTATTATAGAAACACCAAAGTGAAATTCCAGAATGATCGCTAAGTTGTACAGGAAAATAAACAAATCTGCAACAGGTCCCACTATGTATTACTGGATAGAATACCAGAAACAACTATAGAGTACATAAACAGCTATGAACATACATTGGCACCCTATACCCAAACAATTCTGTTCTTTAAGGCTATCAGGCAATCACCACACATCAGCTCCTTTTGTTGCTCCAAAAATAATAGCGATAGTCGCAACAACAGCCTGTTGGACGAAGATTGAACAGAAGTCATAGTTACGCGTAATAATCTTCTGTAAAACTCCATACATTCTAATTAGAACAATATATGATAAATAAGAGATGAAGACAGCATTTCTCTTCGAATTAGATGACACAAAAGGTCTTATGAAATCTTTTAAATGCTTTAAATAAGAAGAATTCTAAAATATTGAAGAATGCAAAATGATTCATTCAAGCATGAAGTAGTTAATTTAAATGAAAAATTAGATATCTATGAGATATAGACACAGACACGAACATGAAGATGCGTTATAACTATAAAAAGTAGGACATGACATATCGTAGATAAAATGTTCTTTTAAAATTTAATTAAAAGATTTAATACTAACAATTTATACATGAAATACAAAATCATATGATTCACATCAGAAGCTAAATAAAACAAAGAAGAACAAATATTATTAATAACAAAAGAAATAGTACGCACATTTTTTGTTAGTCAACGATTTGTATGTGACAAATTTAGTCCTGAAATATTACATTTCTCCCATTTAGTTCATCGAATATATAAAATTGATTCAAAACGATCCCTCGAGGACTAAATTTGGATCAATTTTGTATCACTATTTCTATATGAGAAGTCATTTTAGATCAATTTTGTTAGTTAAGAAAATCAATTGGAGAAATGTGTTGTGAATAGTTTATGGACTATTTTAGGATTTAATTTAATTTTTATCATCGAATAAGGAGAAATTGTAGACCTCATGATTCCATGTGACTCATGTGTAGCTAATTATGAAATTGATGAAAACAAACCTTATGTGATGTCATCTAACGATTTGTATGTGACAAACCTTGTTGTATATTCCATACTGTTGTGGACAGCAGTTTTCATCTTGGATCTAGTTGGTTTTGGTGAGAAACACTTGGAAATCCAAGTGTTTCCTATCAGCTTGCTTAGAGCTTTTGTAGCTTGAAGATGGGCTTAAAATGAATCCAGGTGACTTAAGTGTGTAAATAAAGATCTAACAAGTTAACTTGCTGTTTTTTTTTTTTTAAGGTGCTACATTATTTAATTTTAATGGAGTACAATTTACCCTAAAATATCTCAAGAATGATCAATAAGATAATTAAAATACAATAAAATTATTTTCAATAAATTATGAATCTATCTTATATAAAAGAATTTATTTTAAAATATCTTTTAGGTATTAACCTATTAGGGCTTAACTAAAACTCTATTATAGAGATAAATTGTTAAAGTTAATTTGATATATAAATCCTTAAGTTTTACTAGACTTATCAACCATTTGGCGGGTCACTGCTAAACCTTAAAGGTTGCCACTAAGTTAGCAGGTCACCGTAAAGCTTAGTCAATTCGCAAACAAACAGGATTTTTGGGCTAAAAATGTATTTATTTGAGTTGCAACAAACCTAAATGGGTACTAAAGGGCTTTACAGCCCACCGAAAACTCTTCCAAGCTCATTGCTACCCTATTTTTGGCAATCATTAGCTAGTCCTTCCTAAAAATTGAAATATTGTTTGATTCCATCATTAGTCATTCAGAAATGCTTTTTTATATTGCTCATGATCACTTTACTCTATAAATATTTCTCTTAAAAAAGAGATATTCTCCTCATATTTTCCATATAAAAAAAGAAAAAACTCCGAGCTTCACAGGTTAATCTTTGGAAAAACTTGAAGTGTTCATCCTTCATCAAAGATCCTTCTAAGAACATATAAGTAATATTTTTCTCTCAATCTCTCGATGATTCATGCATTTATGCTGTATTATTAGAAATTGTTCGTGTCAAGATTATGTAGTCTTTATAAGAGTTAGTGATAGCCTTAATTACCGATTGGGCACTTTGGAAGAAGGCATCCTTTTTAATTGCTACGTGTGGCTTAGATGTAAGGGTGTAAATGAGTCAAGCCAGCTCAAACTTGACTCGTTAACGAGCTCGCAAGTTGAGCTTATCAAGCCACGAGCTCAAGCTCGAATATTAAACGAGCTCGAGTTTGAGTTTGTTAAAACTCGACTCGTCGGCTCACGAGCCAGCTTGAATTAATTAATTATTTAGAATTTAAGCTAAAGTAAATTTTTCATGCATTAAAAAAATATATAGCATTTATTACAGCATTAATATAATTATTACACTATACAACAATTGTGTAAATTAAAAAAAAAGTCTAAATAGCTGTTTTTTTTTTTTTAAGAAAATGTTGTCGCAGCAATCTATTTTTTCTAAGCTAATTAAAATAGCATAGCTATCCTTCTTCAAGATCAGTAGTTTATAATTCTTCTTCCTCATTTTTTTCTAGCAAACTTTCTTCTCCACAATCGACATTTCCCTAGCGATGACGAAGCAAAAGCTTCAGCTCTTTCGATCTTTCTTCTCAACTGCCGAAACTTCCCCTACGACAACGAAGCAAAAGCTTCAGCCTTAATTTCATCTAGAGTCGAGCTCTCGAACCTAAGAGAAAATGGACGAGTCGAGCTCGAGCTCGTTCTTTAGGCTCGACACGAGTTGGAGCTCGTGTTCTTGTTGCTCTCGACTCAAGCTCGAGTTTGCTACTACTTGAGCTCTACTCGACTCGTTTCGTTTACACCCCTAATTTAAATGCGCATTTGCACACAACGAAAATGAGAATTCTCTTCTTGATTGAAGTAAAAGGATGTGATAGGTTCTCCATTGGCTTTTGGGCTAAGGATTGAGCTTGTGGCTGTAAGCAAGTTAGTGGAATCCTAAGTATTGGGTGCTTAGGCATGGGCATAGGCCAATCGGAAGGCAAGTTAACATAAATGACAATCTCATATTGCTCTATTAATCTAGATTTACATTCCTTGCACACTTATTTACTTAAGCTCTCATGTTTATGTGATGATACTGATGGGAACATCAGAGCATGGAAAGTATATCAGAGGCGTGGCCGTTGATCTACGGACACGATTGAGTCGATGTATTTTTGAGTCATTTCATGTATTTGTTTTATTATGTCTTTTATTATTTATGTTGTATTTGTCTTTTCCTGTTTTACCCCTTAAGGGAAGTCGTATGTAAGCCCTAACGGCACTGTTGTCTTTTATCTTAGATTCCTTTTGTACGAGGCTATTTATATCCCTTATGTTTATCTTCTAAGGTTAATGGTTGAATGATAAAATTTTTCTCAATGTTTGAGTTCTTATGAGAGATTGGAGCGAGATCCCTTGGAGAGGGAATTTGGATCACCCACCAACCTTGGAGACGACCGGATTTGTGGTTTTTCTTTTTATCGATTTTTTTTTTCTCTATTCCTCATCTAGCCGCCGGCCTAAGGTTGAACCAAACCCTAGGCCGCCAGTCACCGGATTCCCCCCATCTACCCGCCGGCTTCACCCCACCACCTCCCCTTCACCGAAACCCACATAAACACCCGCATAACCGCCGGCCACTCCCACCTCCCCTATCTTCCCTCAACAACTCAACTCCTTGATTACTTTCCATAATCATCCACTCTTAGGTTGGGAAGAATTAATTTCAAAATTCAAACTTATTTGAATTTGAAATCCTTTCCTAATTTAGGAAACTAGGAAAGCCCCTTTTGAATTTCAAATTAAAGGGGATTTAATTCTTTCTTAATTCCTAAATCTCAAATTAAGCAACCCAAAATCCCTCCCTATTCCATTAAGCCGCCGGCCCCTACCTCCTTAATTGCTTTGGATTTATTCCTAAAGCCCATCCCCCTTTTTGGAATTAATTCAAACCTCTCATGCTCCCTCCTTGGCCGAAATTTCCAAAGCCCAACAACTCCTAATTACTTTCCAAAACCTAACATTAAATTTTGGAAACAAATCCCTCATCCCCACCTCTCTCTTGCCGCTGCCCCTACCCTCTCTTCCTCTTCTTTAATTATTCCCAAACATAGGGATTAATTAGAGCATTGTTTGGAAACCCTTTCCCTCCACCAAATTGGAGCCAAATTAAATCTCTCTCCCTTTTACGTTGGTCGGACGCCACATTCATCTTTTCCACTTCAATTTTGAGAGAAACTTCTTTCTCTGAAGTTTCTCTCTAGTGGAGCTTCAAAGGATTGACGCTGATTTTCGACTACACATCGACCGTCAAAGCCAGTGAATGACCAATCCGGAGGTTGACTATGGATTTGCTTACGACGATCAAGGCAACATCAACATCCTCCATTCTCTGTTCTTCGACTACAACCCCGAAGTTGATAATTCTATTGAAGAATACGAGGATCGCATTCTCTTCACTCTATCAGAGGCTAATGACCAGCAACTTGCCGGCACCCAGTGGCAAGTCATCTCAGAACCTTCCCAAGGGTGAACTTCTTCCCATTTTCATTTACATTCCTAATCCCCTAATCTTGTAGGTGGTGAGGAGTCACGAGGAGCCGTGCTTCGCCTTTTGCCTAAGCTTAGTAAATGTAAGATCTTGTTTGGCCTTTACCTAAGCTTAGTAAACGTAGGATTGAGCGTACTTTATACGCTTCTAATCTTATTGTTAGCATAGGGATTTTGTTGAAAGCTAATACATTTTCTTATTGTTGAGATTCTAAATTATTTGATACTTCAAGCGTTTGGCAAGTGGCTTAGCCTAAACGTAGGCACCCCTCTCTTATTTTCTTTTGTCGTTTTGACTGTTAATAGTTTTAATCTTAATTGTTTTATTCAAGAAATCGTGTAAGTTCTTATCGCATTCATTTTTAGCATTGTAGTCCTGCATCAGATATCTATACTAATAACTCATGCTATTGCATTAGAGTAAATCAATCATTATTGTGCTAATTAATTAATTGCTTTCACAAATAGAATTATTTTATAATCACCATAATATTGTTTGTATTTGGACTCTATGTATAAAAATTGATGTTTGACTAAATCAATCTCATAAACTTTTGCAGTGAAATCAACTTATACACTTGTGCTTATAATTCAAAATCTCACATTAGCTCCACCATTACATTATTTGTGTGCTACCATTTTTTTCAACAATTGGCATAAATAGTTTAATTGAATTAACA